TAGCTCCAGAGTGTCTTGGAAAAGTCGTAGAGATTGCTTACAGTTGCATCAGTCTGGAGGGAAGAGACCGACCAACAATGGGCGAAGTGGAGGTGTGTTTCCTCAAAAATCCTTTAGTGGTCTCGCACGTGTGAAATCTGATGCGGGCGTGCCACTTATTTTGCCGAAAATAAGAAAGGAGGACTTTCCCAACGATCCTCTCCTTTCTCACGGTCGACCTCTTCGCAGATGGCGGGAAGAACGTTGGATTAAAATGAAATTTGCGCCTTCAGACGATTTGCAAGAGGGAGGGATACCTTCCTGCAGAATGGGTTACGAAATCTGCCTTGGACAACTCCAAGGACTTAAACACTACCGTGATTTATAATTAACAAATCCTAATTATTCTAAATTACTTGCAATTTAAAATAAACTTGCGAGAAAGAAGTGTTCCCAAATTAAATTAAACATGCTTGTGATAAAATTAAAAGTGTAATCTATTGGCAGATTCGGAAATTAAATTGCTGCAGATCTGGAAACTTAAACCTAATTAGCACTGAAATTAAACAGGAACAATGAATAAATTGCGTGAACAGTGAATAAATTGAAGAAACTTGAATTTGGAAAGAAGCATGAAGGCCTCATAAGTAATCATTGAAACAATGCTACTTAACATAAACATTAAATTAATTTCAAATGAAAAGAAAACAATACCTTGCATAAACTTGAAGGATTGAAGTTCATTGCATGAAGGAAAATTGTTTTAACTGAATATAGGAATAAATTTGTCTACTGGAATAAGGAAAAACAACCTAATTCTAATGGAATCTGTGCTGAAATACGAAATCTGTGCTGAAAAACCGAAATCTGGAAGCATGTGCATAGAAAAGCAAAGTATGAAAAGTTGCAATTGTTTGAGTAGGGCTGGCCGTCCTCCTTCTGTGCTGAAGTTCCCTTTTTGTTCCTCTTTGTGCCGACAGTTACTCAATCCTAGGTAGTTTGTTGGAGTAGTGTGACACCTCACCCTTTGACCTAGTCTAAACCCCTTTCAGATTTTACCACCTAGACTTTATCAGATAAAATCTCCTTTTTAAATGTGATCCTCCCCTATCTTGCCAACTGCCATTATCTCTTTCTGTTTCAAAAGATAATTACTCAACATTATCTTTATCTCTCTTATCTTGCCAACTCATGTGCTGATCTGTCATGGGGCTCAGGATCCGAATCTGACATGGCTCAAAACTCCTCCAGCCAATAAAAATTTTACAGGTGGCATTAATTTAAAATTTTGCAATTTATGGTGTAAACAAGGTGACTTTGGAGCTTGCATTGGAACTGCAACAGAAAGCTCAGGCGCATTCCCATTTGTACTAGAGAAATTATAATATGGATGCTGATGAAAAT